TGAAGTTCTTATTTTTTGTCACTTTTCCATAGAGATTATATGGCCCCATTCCCTCATCATGGTTAATTGACATGGAATCTTTTACATTGTTTACAAGCTCAAGTCTGTGTTTTGGTTTGTGTAAAGGGCACCACTTATAATAAGTCAATAGTATCTGGTATGCAGTTTTATAAGCATTGCCTTTAAATTTGGCATTTCTAATTTCCATGGAGGTTATTTGATCATTATGTCATGTTTCATTGACTTTAAATGTTTTGCATAGTTTGCATGTATAAATTTTGCCATTTGGATTCAATATTCGCATTATACTACCAAAATTACAAATAGGCGAGACATATCTCTGTGTCAACAGTTTATTTAATTCATTTCAGCTATTTTTCCGAAGTCTTTAGCTTATTGGAAACAGTGCTTAAAAGAACAGTCCTTTGTTACGGAAACTTGTATCGTTGTGCATATCTTAACTGTTATAAATTATGAAGGATACAAATAGCCAATTTAATTTCCTTGTCCAATTCTTAGCTTGTGAAAATTAACAAATATCAGAGCGGAGTCATTGGCTAAATAGGATAATTCAAATAATTCTTTTTAACAAAAATACCAAACTCCAAGGCAAATTCAAAAAGGGGAAGTCCATAAAATTGACAAAATCAAACGATATCAATCAACTGAACAAGTGAAAAACAACTGTTCGAAGTTAGTCAGCGTCCTGTTTCATTCCATTTGCATTTTCTTTTTAATACTGCAGCTCAATAAAGTGTGAATATCCGTGCTACTGAGAAAAGCCCAAATAATTAATCTACTAATTATGAAAGCATGCCTTTAAATACCAATAAAGAGCTTTGTATTTCAGAAAAGCTTTCATAACTTGTGTGTGTATGAAGGGGAAAAGGTCACTGGAAATCATTTGAAAATACATGATTATTTGTGTCATACAGATAGTTAATACCAATCGGTTATTTCAGAATTTGTCAACATATTTTGATGAGAAAACAGTTTGAAAGATTGCATTTGAAAATCATACCTCTTTCTTAGTTTAATATAAATCTGTTGTTTTAAGAATCTTTTATACGAGTGGCACAGCTCATCACCTGAGGTATAAAAAATCAGAAATCATGTCAATATCGTTTAATTAGAAATGGGTACTCCCCTGTAAATAAATAAAAAAAAAACAATGATTTCAATCTTAACTTTTCATAGGTAAGTTTAAGTACGGAAAAGGGTTGGTACCATTATAACAAATATACTGAATACATTTTTCGAAAAATGTAAAATGCTGTGTATGGGATTTTTTATATTGTAATGTATCAAGGATAGAACATTCAAAATCCACGACAGCCATTGGTGGTTTTGGGAGATTCTTTGCCCATTAAAAAAAGACTGAAGTATAAAGCACCCCGTCCCCCAACCCTGTTACCATTTTCCCTTCAGGAGAGTAAATGTCAGTCATGTGACATATTCCCTCAACTTCCCGTTAATCATAACACTTACTGACCTTCCTAGCGTGTTAAAATTACATTCTTACCCCTGATGAGGCATATTTCATTCATATTATGGACAATTATAGTTTAAACATATTTTATTGCTCAAAATGACAAATGGATAAGCCACAAGTTTTTCAACTTAGCGACGTTTTTTCCAAAAATATTAGAATAATATGTAAAGAAGTGTTTTTAGAGGAATTTTACTTATTTTTGGATGTACCATATAGACTATCCAATTATGTTTAATGCCATTATGGTGTAATCATAAAATATCTATATGCGCTATTTACTATTAGACATTTGAGGAAACTAGGTCTATACCTAGAACAACATTTAGACTTACGATTACAGTTGACGAAAAAGAAGGGTTCATCTTAAAATATTAAAATAAATAACAAAAGCGATACATAATGAAGCCAAAAGATTTTTTTCATTATGTCTTTTCGACTTCACGCAAATGCAGGGCATATGGTTACAACAGATTTAAGTTGCTGTCTTGATTGTCGCCACAAAGTCCCCATAACTTTGTAATTTTTCAAATCCCCGATGGCGTGTTCAACTTCTACTCTATAGTGTGTAATAAGTATAAATTTACGACAAAAGGGATTTTTCTTTCCCTATTGTTAATTTTCCTTTTTAGGACGGTGATGTTTCTTTGACTCGTTCACTATGCGCGTGTCTGTAATGACGCTTTGGATTTCAATGGGGGATGCTTGAATGAAAAATTTTGTCCTGCATTTGTTTTTTAGTAATAATCTCTGTCCTGCCTTTTTCATTTTTCACTCTATTCGGTCCAGCCTTTTTTTTTTATTAGTTTATCCTGACTTTTTTTTTACATAAATTGTCATCCTGCCTTTTTTTTTTTTTTTTTGCCAAGTTGCTCATCCTGCCTTTTTTTTTAATCAAAACTCCTGTCCTGCCTTTTTTTCAAATTAAAAATCTACACTTCCTCTGCATATTCGTGGGATTCGATCAATATGTTGTCTTGTACTTTGAGTCTATACTGGATATCTGTTCGAATATATCCACACTGAACATAACATATCCTGCCTTTGTTCGATATTAGAACTTACGTGTGAATGTAGTGATAATGTCTGTGTCCTGAATAATACTGTTTTATAGTTCTGTTATCGGACGATAAATTCCAGTTGAAGTTCCTTTAATAGTCCCTGTTGCAAACGGAAGTTTTTGCCACCCCTTTGTAAGTTCTGTCGTTGACCCAAAGAAGGCCATTGAATAAGACGGGTATATTTTTCTTTGAAAATATGTATACATGTATGTATTTTATCTTTGAAAGTTAAAACACTAACGACAAATATTGCAGAAAGCATATGATAAGACAGATACGATCCGAACTATAACATGAAAGGAAGTACTTTGTTTCTCGAGGAAAGCGTATGTTTTCAACCGGTTCCCTGTATGAGTAGACCATTAACATCGGTTACAATTTGAAGTAACGTTTTATGAGTTTCACCTGTAACTTCAAAGAAGAAATATCGGATGCTTGCAAAAGAAGTGAACACATCTCTCCCATTCCAAAAGTGTACAACATTGACCATATAATTCTTTCCCTGTTTGTAAACGATGGCTCTGGCGATGGTTTAACTGGGACGACCACGGTTAGAATCAGATGACGAATAAAATGCACATCTGTGTGTTTTTCGTATATCTTTTATTTTGTTCTGTTGATACCAAAAACGCAGACAAAATTGTTTGCCCAATTCAGAAAACATAAAAGATAGTAAAAGTATACCAAATGGCAAGTGAAATGCATAAAGAATAAATAGTTCTTAAACTACCATCCACTATATACCCTTATTTTATTTTTCAAAAAAACGTATGTCTTCGCATAAACATTAAATATTGTCAACATGCTCCTTAGTTGATTAAATTTTTGCGCATGTCTTATTAAAAATTTATTATTTGATATTTGTCCATCTATCATATTACGTACATTTATATCAAGCTCAACCTAGATAACACCATGCACAACTAATTAAGGTGTACACATTTCTTAAAAACACCGTTGTTCAACTATAGAAAAACATCATACCAGTTAGCATTTGTTTTGAGACGACGGTTTATATTTATACTTTGAGACAACCCAAGATGTACATGCAACCTGTATGTGCAATTGTAATCCTATTCGTAGGTGTATGACAGTTTCTGCAAATGTCTATTAATAACAATGAACTCACAAACTGCTTCAAAATACCTGTGCTAGCCAAGGGTTTTGTGGTGCCTTTCAGCATCCTTACGCATTGTAACATTACTAACCCTTTGTAAGTGAAGATGATAGGAAAACTGAAAACAATTGAAAAGCAACAGTGGTTTCCTTCCTTTTTTCATTCATATCAGCTAAGTTTTTAACCTAAAGGAAACAGTACCTAATAGAGAAATCATTTGTTACGGAAACTTTTAGGTTGTGAAAATTAACCAACATCAGATCGGTATCATTGACAACAACGTTGTCGACTTATTAGAATAATTATAATAATTTGAATTATAATTAAGAAAATTTTATCGTCAAGTATTGCACCCTTCAATTTGGGATTTGTCATACCATTGAAATCAAATGGCCGTCCCATTATTAAATTAAGAATCTATGAAAGTTTCAAATAATGATGTCAAGCAGTTCATGAGCAGTTGCGGATACAAAAGTGGAACAGATGGACAAACGGACTGACATACTCCTCTTTACTATATACCACCGCTTTAGAAAGCAAGGTATAACAATATCAAATAATACCATACAAAGAATGCTCGTAGCTACTGGAAGCAAGTACTGAATCTGCTGATTTAAGAGTCATTCTAGTTTAGTTAAACACCTTCAAGATTGAACATCAACGGAAAAATCTGCTTTGTAAATGATAAAGCAATTAAAGAGGAGTTGGTCTTTTCTGTTGAGGTGTTTTAGTCATTTTAAACCTTGTGTTAACTGTTATTTTAAAAAATATGTGCTGTAAACAGTTATTGGATAAATAGCTGTTATCTGTTTTCTTAAAATTGACATTGTTGTTAATAAAAAAAACTAATCATAGATACCAGAATTGAAATTTTGTATTTGCGCCAGACGCGCGTTTCGTCTACAAAAGACTCATCAGTGACGCTCGAATCAAAAAAAGTTTAAAAGGCCATATATAGTACAAAGTTGAAGAGCATTGAGGATTTAAGATAATCTAAGTTGCTTTTATCGGTTATCAGTATTTTAAATTGATTGTTATCTGTTTTAAGCAAAATCAAAATTTCTAACCTGTTAATGGATCCCATCCTGCCCCCCGTCATTTAAGTTGGATGTGAAATACCACTTTTGACTGAATTCGATTCGTAATAATACATAAAAAAAATCCCTATATATGTGTTAAAACTAATTTAGCTAATTATTTACCAATCAAATATGTCTGATCTATATGGTTGGTTTTCCCGTTTGAATGGTTTTACACTAGTATTTTTTTAGGGTCCTTTATAGCTTGCTGTTCGGTGTGAGCCAAGGCTTCGTGCTTAAGACCGTACTTAGACCTATAATGGTTTACTTTTATAAATTTTGACTTGGATGGAGAGTTGTCTCATTGGCACTAATACCACATCTTCTTATATATATAAGCTTGTTGAACAAATTTTTTAGTCATGAAAATATTTCGTATTTTTACATCGTAAATATAAACATGCGCATTTAAAACCAACTGGTAAATGTACTCTGCATAAAAAGAAGTCAAATGCACACCATCATGAAGGAAAGGATAACTAACAGTAGGAGAAGCAAACAAACAGTAAGATAGGAAAACTAACAGTAGGAAATGTAAACTGACAGTAGGTAGAAAGGTGAACTAACAGTATGAAAGGTAAATAAACAGTAGGAAATGAAAACTAACAGAAGGAAATGTAAACTAACAGTAGGATAGGAAAACGAACAGTAGGAAATGTAAACTGACAGTAGAAAGGTGAACTAACAGTATGAAAGGTAAACAAACAGTAGGAAATGAAAACTAACAGAAGGAAATGTAAACTAACAGTAGGATAGGAAAACGAACAGTAGGAAATGTAAACTGACAGTAGAAAGGTGAACTAACAGTATGAAAGGTAAACAAACAGTAGGAAATGAAAACTAACAGAAGGAAATGTAAACTAACAGTAGGATAGGAAAACTAACAGCAGGAATGGAAAGTAACAGTAGGAAAGGATAACTAACAGAAGTTAGGTAAACTAACAGTAGAAGAGGAAAACTAACAGTAGGGAAGGAAACTAAGAGGGGAAAGGAAAGTCGCCTCTTTTGTAATACATTTTTGTGTGAAGATAACCATAACAAATCATAACATCAAAGTCTACCAAAATAACAACGACCACTTTTAACTTTAGATAATTAAAGTAAGACCAACTTCAGTGGCTATTGCATTGCCAATATGGATTATTTAGAAAAATCTAAACATATACAGGTTTTGTTATCAAGTCGTATTTTGTTAAGGCTTTTAGTTTAGCCATAATATCTTCAAGGTGTTGTCGAGTAAGACACTTAAAAATCTTTTTTAAGTAAAAGAAATGCATGCCAGAAATTGGAACATTGTTGTCTGTGAATATTGTTTTTGTAATTATGATACGTTATATATGAAAACGTAAAATTCAATAAATGTGTTAATCCCACTCTCACGCATATGCCTCAAGTTTTCTTCTTGCAAGATAATTCATACTTTATAAAATATCAAAAAGTGCCAAAGAAAATATCATTTTACTTTGTCTTTTTCTAGTGGATTGTATATTTCAGCTGATTTGATATGTAATATACTTCATTCCAATAACTACTCGGATTTTAATGAAACACATAATATTTTCATCACTAAAATGCTTTTATACAAAAATACAGATGCAATAAATTGGTCACACTTTTACCAAATTCTTACAAATATAGATATCTATTGTTGAAGTAATTTTCAACTTTCTGACGCAATAATGATTTGGTTGAACCCAATGGAATATCTATGTCAATATCTCAGATGAACATGAATATGTTCCACTTTTAGCTACAATCCCGTTTTTATGTCGCTCATTTTTGACATTACCGAATGCGACTTACCACAGATTTTTTTTCTTGCAATGAGTAAAACGACGGGTGTTTGATTGATCACTTGGTATGCCTTTTCAGAAAGACTCCAAATAAAATTGTCTTTAACCAGCGTTTAATAGAAAAATCATTAGTTCAGTAAACAATTTAAGAAAACGGCTTTTAAAATATTTTTTGTTTTAATACAATTATTAATATAGGTTTTAGTCATGTTGTTTATATTTGGAAATCTACAGTTTGAAACAGTATTGGAATATTTCGTTAATTTTTTTGCATAGGAATTTCATACATAAAATATATTTAAGGTATTGTAAAAGATACTTGTTTCTGCACCGTTTACACATTACGGATTTTTTTTAATGACAATTTTTCTTTGAGCGTACTTTAATCGTTATTGCAGTTTGTTTCTTTTTTATTAATTTAATTATATGAATTCTCGTCTTAACAATTATGTAGTACGTTGACTTTATTTTTGTACTGGTAAATACAGGCTTCAAGGAAAAAAACTGCTTAAAATGTCATTTTATTTAAGTATGATTACAATATAATATATACATGATAGTTGTCACATTATGATATAATATATATATACATACTAGTTGTCAAATTACAATATAATATATACATATTAGTGGTCACATTATAATATGATATATACATAATAGTTGTCACATTACAATATAATATATACATAATAGTTGTCACATTACAATATAATATATGCATAATAGTTGTGACATTACAATATAATATATACATAGTAGTTATACACATCACAATTGTTAGTGCAATTTTATATATACCACTGCCATTGATCATTTGCAATCATTTTGCATCTTACAGATTGATTGATTGAGTGATTGATTAATTGTTGCTTTAAATTCCAGCGGCAAATAGTTAATGCAATTAATACAATTAATTTTTATCACCCCAGCTCACATATTGTATCATAAAATTTGAATTTGAAGTTATGATTAACTCCTGTAAATACATATGAAAATTTTCTTATGCTATCAATCAATACTAGCCATTGGGCCAGACAACTTACTAAACATCGTCCTGAAAACCAACTAGTACCGGGGCCGAGACACATCTTTCAGCAAAAACTCTACCTACTAATTGGTTAAAAGCGAACATCACTCCTGTATTTAAGAAAGGAAATATCAACACACCAGAGAACCATATACCTGCTTCTCTTACCTGGGTTACCTGCAAGCTGCTTGAACATATTCTATGTAAGCATATCCTTAGACACCTAGAAAGGAACCAAATACTCACACAACACATGGCTTTCGTTCAGGTTTCTCCTCTGAAACCAAACTTTTAACAACTATGAACGACTTACTACAACTTTATGACAAAGGCCACCAGATAGATATTGTGATACTGTATTTCTCTAAGGCCTTCGACACGGTCCCGCACAAAAGGCTTTTATCCAAACTCGAAAGTTATGGTATTGATGGGCCTATTCTATATTGGTTCGACATGTTCCTTACGAAACGATCTATGCGAGCCCTGGTAGATAGCGAAAATTCTAACTCTGTAAGTGTAGCATCAGATGTACCTCAAGGCACGGTACTTGTACCGCTGCTATTCTTGTGTCACATTAATGACTTACCTGAAACTGTTAAATCTCAAGTCAGATTATTCGCTGACGATTGCCTACTATTATAGGAATGTCCAAACACAACAGGACCACCAACTACTACAAAACAACCTTGTGTCATTGGAAGAATGGGCCACAAAATAGGGTAGGAGATTTAATGCTGAGTATACCAGCAAAAAGAAAGGTAGTATAAGGAGACTTATGAACGAACTAAAACTTTCAACACTTGAAAACAGACGTCGTCACAGTAGATTCATTTTTCTCTACAAGGTGGCCGGGGAGTTGGTATCAGCTATCCCGCAAGATTCAGTATTAGTTAAGGAGAGATCAAAACGTCAAAAAGATCCAAACAATTGAGTGACTATAAAACAACAAACATTGTAGACAAACTTGAATAAAACAACAGCCAGTGTTTCAAAATTCCACCTAGTAAATCTGACCAATATAAACATTCTTTGTAAGAACAATTTACCATTGGAATGGACTACCAGACAGTCTCTTGTGTGCAAAGACAATAGAGAACGTAAAAACCTCGGTTGCTCTCACATCGTTGGACTAGTTTTCCAGCGCCTCTCTTCCATTGCCTTTGATGGCATATACTGGCCCTGCAACGTACCTTTTCCGCTTCAGATTTAGTACTGATGTTTCACTGCTCTTGATCTAAGTTCTTAATCCCATATAATGTATATTGTATATATATTAAATATATTAAAAAAACTCAATTTTTAACACAAATTAGCATACTTTTTTTTTTCGTTTGTTATGTTAAAAAATATTAATATCACAGTATACACTGTAATCTAATTATTGCTGGGAAATTAGGAATGCCACTAGGAGATGAGGATATATTAGATAGGGATAGAAATTAAGCCTTTCAATTGATTATCAAGAGTTGTTGAAATGTTTTAGTGTGGAAAGAGTGCGGTATTACCTCTACGCGCATTGGAATTAATGTTCCAAAATCTAAAAGTTAGAACTAGAATTATCATTGCAAGCAATGGCGGATGTCACCCCCGTCAATTGCTACTAAACGGCAGCCATTTTGAAAACTCCAAAGTCGAATGCCACATCTACACACGCCAATTAACATGTGTGTGAAGATTAATTTAATTTGGAGCTTTTTGAATTTTTTGGAAATTTTTGCTGTCTCCATGCATGGTGACGGTTGATCTATTGAAAATGTTCAAAACTTATTCCACATCTATCCATTGCAGATAAAAAAAATCTATAACATTTGTTTTAGATTTGATGTTATTGTCTTAAAAAAAATTCTGCTTTTGTGTTTTAACGTAGGGTTCTATATTAAACATATTCCGGAAAAAAGGCGCGGCCGTGAAGTTCCGAAGATACTCAAAATCAGCCAGAACCTGTATATAGTAGGCACCTACGTTGTATACATATTTTATGAATTATAGTTCAGGTATACTTAAAGTAGGCATCAAAAACCAAAATGTTATGGTTTACATGTTTGCATTTTCCATGGCAACAGTGGTCATTTTAAAAATTCCAAGGTCTAACTGGACATCTACAAATGATGGTTCTCGTTATAGTATACTTTCATGGAGATTGGTCTTATAGTACCTGAGAAATCGCAAGGATAAAAATCATTGGAAGAATATTAATAACAAAGAAACGGAGGAAGAGCAATAAGGCATTCGTTTGGGGTAACATAATAGAATGGTACATAATGCTTTTAATAAGGGAATATATTTCACCTTCTATGCAAGCTTCTCTATTGTGAATGATCAGCTGTAGCTATATGATGTTACCTAGATTGACGTGTTTCTCAAGTCAAATAGTGTTTTATATATAGATTTTAATTCTTGAAGTCTTGAAATTGTTATTCATTTACACCCGTTTGAATTAAAGTTCGGATCAAGAATAAGCATCATACAAATCTACCAACCAAAAAGACTACAA